TGTTTATTTTGTTTGTTTTTAATTACTATAAATTTTTAAATTACTATAAAATTTTTAATATAATTCAATAATATTTTTTGTAGAAATTATTATTCTCTCCGTTATAATAATTTGCTTTCTAGCGTCGATTATCTACAATATACAATAAAATATTATATGTATTATATAAATAATATACAATTATATATATGTATGCATAATATATATATTATGTATATATATATAATAAAGTATATATCTTGATAGTATATGTAATATATTATACATATATCTAATAACATATATTATGATAGTATATATAGTATACTATATACGTAATACGATATATATTATATATAATGCAGTATATTATATATTCTATATAATATATATATATATACATTATTTGTGTGTATGTTGAAAAGGATGAAGACGAGAAAGAATATAAAGAAGACGGGAGCGGCGAAGACAGCAGCAATGAAGACAGCGGCAGCGACAGCGACTACTCTTCAGATTATTCTTCTTTAGCAGATGAAAGTGAAGAAGAAGAAGAAGCAGCAACAGACTCAGATGAAGAAGAAGGTCTTAGCTGGGATGAACTCGAAGAAAGAGCAAAAAAGGGTATTCATACAAATCTTTTTCTTCTTATTAGTGCTTTTCTTTGCTTTATTACGATTGTTATTATTCTACTATTATTGTTTATTAGTATTGTTTATTTTTATTATGTTTATTTTTATTGTATTATTATTATTAGTTTACTGTTGCTATTATTATTGCTGTTATTATTGTATTATTTTGTTATTTTATTTTCATTTCTATTTTACTATTACTATTATTATTATTATTATACTTTATTATTATTATTTTTATTTTTATTTTTATTATTTTGGTTATATTCTATTTGATGCTTTCTTCTTTCGTCGTCTTCGTTCTGTTTTTTGTCTTCTACTTCTTTTTGTACTTTATTTTCATTTATTTAATTATGTTTCTCTCTCTGTATATTTTTAAATATATTTATTCTTTTTATTTATTTGTTCTCATTTATTTATTTATTTATTTTATTTATTCTTTTTTATTTATTTTATTGCGGTGTCTGTGCAGAGGACCGGAAGCGCCATGCAGACGTCGACTCAGAGGGAGAAGAGAGAAGAACGAAGAAGAAAAGAAAATAAATAAATAAATAAATAAAATAAAATAAAATAAAATAAAATAAACAAACTACATCAAAACAAAATAATAAACACACAAGAAAAAACATGCAGAGGAGAGTGTGTCTCTGTTTGTTCTTCTTTACAGAAACAATTATATATATATACATATATATATATATATATATATTATTTATATTCTTTTGTCGTTTGCATATGAATTAAATAAAGTAAATGTTGTTTATTCTTCTTATATTCATTATTCTCAACAGTATCTGTCTGTACATCCCCAGAATCAAAGGGAGTACAACAACAGCAGCAACAGCAGCACAGCTGCT